CTCCGAGACTCCTTCCGAGACTGCTCCCTCTGAGACTGCTACTGAGACAGCTCCATCCGAGACCGACTCCGAGACTCCTTCCGAGACTGCGCCCTCAGAGACCTCCCCTGCAAGCACACCCACTGGCAGCTCTCCCGTCCAGTCGAGCTCTTCGACCCCGGCCATCACCACACCTGCGACGCCTGCTTCCAGCACTGCCACTGCCATCACTGGGGATGTCACCACGACTGTTGTAACATACGAGACCGTGACCACCTGCCCCGTGACTGAAACCATCTCGACCAGCGGCACCGTCACCACCTCTACTTACAGCACTGTCTCTACCGTCACTCTGACGTCCACTTCGACCATCTGCACTGCCTGCAAGGCCAGCACCACTCCCGCCCCCTCGTCGGTCGCCCCTGTCTCCACTGGTCCTGCCCCTGAGGACCTGACCACTACCGTGGTGACATACGAGACTGTGACCAAATGCCCTGTCACGGCGACCATCACGACTAGCGGCACCGTCACGACCTCCACCTACAGCACTATGTCGACCGTCACTCTGACCTCGACCGCCACCGTCTGCACTCGCTGCACCGCGGGAAAGACCACCCTTCCCTCAGGCCAGTCCCCCGTCACCGCCAGTGAGACCAGCGGCGTGCCCTCCGGGACCGCCACTCCCTCGTCTGTCCCCTCGGCCCCTTGCCCCAACGTCGTGCCCAAGTGTATCAACACCTGGCTCAGCTTGCTCCCCAAGTGCAACTCCAACAGTGACGCCAGCTGCTTCTGCCCGTCCTCCGAGTTCACGGACAAGGTCATCGCCTGTGTGCAGTCCTGGGGAGCCTCGCAGTCGGAGGTTCAGGCCGCTCTGTCCTACTTCACCGGTATCTGTGCTGCCTACGTGCCCCAGAACCCCGGCATCGTGACCGCCATCCCGACCACCATCACCCTGGTCCCCACCGTCACCCCCACCGGCGTCAATGCAGTCACTGCTCAGCCTACTGGCGGTGCCACCGCCACGCCGACCGGTGCTGCGGCCGTCACGCCCGCTCCCCACGCCTCCTCCGCCCCCTGCACCACCATCACCTACTCCTCTTACACCGTGACGGTGCCCCAGGTCGCTTTCTCAACTGCCACCGGCGGCTCGACCACTACCGTCGGTCTGATCCCCGGCCCGGCCCCGACCTCAGGCGTGTCCGCGGGCACCACAACCCGCGTTCCCAACCCCTGGCTGTCCTCGACACTGGTGACCCACCCAGGCACCGCGACGGCTACTGCCTCTCCGACCGCCGGTCCCCTCCTGTCCAACGATGCCTCCTCGGGCTCTGCCTCGAGCATGGTCTGGGCTGTCGCTGTCGCGGCCCTCTTCGGCGCTCTCTACTAATCTGGCTGCGAAAATGTGCTTTTTCCGTCGCAACGTGTAACTGCTTGCTACATTCGTTCTTTTTAATATCAGGTAATCACTGATAAATAATACTGTATTTCAATCTCTTGCGTTATTCCTTTCCTGGGTAATACTAGATAGATTGTCGAGAGCCTTCCAGCCTGCTTGAGGGTTCTAATGTACCTAGATGTGTTAATTCCCTCTGGGTTCTTCTCATTAGTGACTTACTGGCTTACTAAATCCGTTCTGATGCTCAACGGACTCGTATTTTAGATAATTACCAGCACCTAGTCCGGATTATCAATGATCATTTTCTACCTACAAGGCACATTTTACTCATAGGCAACTTCTAACGATCTCTAATATGTACCCCATCATCAGTCTTTGGGAGGCCGGTTGGCGTTGATATCGTCTAGGATCTCCCCTGCGCCAGCCTTGACCAGTCTAGCTGCAAGTTCCTCTCCGAGCGCGTTTGCTTCCTCGACAGTCTGGACTCTTTTAATAATATTGTCCTCGACGCTCTGGGTGCCGTCTAGACTGACGACGATAGCGTTCATCCTCAAATCTCCCGAAGGCGTCCATTCCGTTTCAACTCCAATCGGGACACTGCAACCACCCTCGAGGGTTCTCATGAGAGACCTCTCAGCAAGGCAAGCAAGAGTGGATTTCTGGTCAGCCAGTTGGCCCAGCAATTCCTGCATTTTACGGTCTCCCTTGCGAATCTCCAAGCCAAGCGCGCCCTGGCCAACGGCATGGAGAATTCCCCCGTCCTTGGATCCCAGGTACTGGTTGATACGATGCTTGAGGCCCACCCGCTCAAGGCCCGCCGCAGACATGACCATACACGTATACTCACTGTCCGGGTCGTCCACCTTGGCGAGACGAGTCTCTACATTGCCGCGGAGATTGGCGAACCGGAGAGACGGATAGAGACGCCGGAGCTGCGCTGAGCGCCGCACGGAGGAAGTGCCGACTACCGCGCCCTCGGGGAGGCTCTTCAAGCTCGTGTATGGCAGCCCAGCCTTGACAATCAAGGCGTCCCGGGGATCATCCCGAGGTGGGATGACTGCGAGCTCACAAGAGTCGGGAAGCCTCGTCGGCATATCTGGTGCAGTCAGCTCCGCGGTCCAACATAATGACGGAGCGAATGAGATTATTCACCCTTCAGACAATGCACAATGACATCCAATTCACCGGAAGTGAGCTTTTCTTCCAGCTCGGTGGTCCAAAGGCTCTTAGCGCCAAAGTTATACAGCGCCGTTAGCTTGTCTCGATCGCCCAGTGTGCGGATGCCTTCGATCTCATAGGATCGATCCGGGGCAATCTTTTGCAGGCTATCCCGGATGCCCTCCGCCTGGACCATGGCCAGATTGGATCGTCGCGTACCGATCCGTAGCGGCCGCTGGGGTGTCGGAGAGGTTTCCGCCATGTTGTCGGATGATGATGGGGCTGAGAGGAAGCTAGGAGGGGGTTTCTACCAAGACCACAGAAAATGGAATGTATTTATTATCCAACATGCCCACATAAGCCAGAACAAAAAACGGACCACACCCGACGCTAAACGATTGAAACGCTTAGTATGCAAGCGACGATTTAGCGCTCGATCGAAGAGCCTTCCAGCGGTCGTACCCGAGAATTAGCGCAGGGTATTTCCAGTATTTGCACACGAAAATTACCAGCTCAAGTGTACCTAGAACCATGAGGGTTATTCTCCATTGTTGAAGCGTTTCGACTCCACGAAATCATCTAGAATCCGCGACTGATGCACAAACGCCAGGATCGAGGTAATGATGTTCAGCCGCGGGGCATAAACAGTCTGCGGTAGCGGGTGCTGCATAAGTCTCGATCCAGCAAAAAACCAACTCAAGCGGTTTCTCAGCTTCATCTCGTGAGCAAAATGGCTATGTGTATTCCTTGCTCTTCGAAAACGAGTCTTGAAGGCACGTTCGTCTGTGAAGGATCGGTTTCTTCAATTGGAAAGGACTGGCTATTCGTTACACGGGCACATAGCACCGATGCATGTTGCACGTGGAATTCATTACGTTCTGAAGACGAGTTTGGAAGGCATTGAGCGTCCATTGTTTTCATACGCCAGGATTGAAAGTCGAAGTGGACGTGTTCACGCACAAAGGACTAAATATCCCACTGCAGGTGTAATAGGGATTGAAATCATTGAAGCTACCAGCAACAGATGGAACTGGGAGTCATCCCTGCAGCTAGAGAACAGTTCACACACTACATAGCTTCTACCAATCTCTTGTCAGGATAAAGACATCACACTATAAGCCTGATAGTACAATTCTGCGCTATTCCAGTCTATCCAACCCTATAAAAGGCACAAACCATCTGCCGCAGATGCCAGCAAACAACAAGACCAGTTTCCAAGTCGCTACGTGGCAGGCCACTTCCGAAACAAATCCGACAACCGATCCAACGGCGCCGTAAGCAACCCCACAGCAGTCTCAAACGGCGGCGTCGAAGGTGCCGTCGGATGCGCATGCGAAGGCACGAAGAGCTTCGTCCTGTTCAACGACTGCGACAGCCCTAGGCTTTCCTGCTCCGAGAGCGCGTCCTCCAGCAACTGGACATCCTCCGTCTCTTCGTGACGTATGTGCTCCTGGAGATCATCCCAGAGGGATTGCAGCGTGGGGATGAAGCGCGGGTCCGTGGATTTCATGTCCTGGAAGGTCTTGAGCTTTTCTTTTACCTGGTGGTGTCGTTTGTTGCTGTCAGCCAGACGCGCTCTCGCTTGATATAAAGAACGGGGGACCAACGGTCTGATGCTCGGCCCTATCCTTCCTCGCCAACTCCTTGCCGTCGTCGAGGTATTTCTCCAGCGCGGGATACACGACTAGCTCCTCACCGACTGTGTGCCGCGCTAGTTCCCAGGTGAACTCGTTCTGGTACTTGGTTTGCTCCTCTGGATCGGTCGAGCTGACGATCAGCTCGTAGAAGGACTTGATCTCGCTGTGGTCGTGCTTGATAGTGTCGAGGATGCGGAATCGGCGGGCCTGCGACCAGTCCGTGAAGGCCTGGACTTGGTGGCTTATGTTGCCGCGGAGGACGTGAGGCTCGGAGACATTGCTGTCTGCTGTGGATTTTCGTCCGTGTGTTGCGGCCATGATTTGGAGCATTAGATTAATGGAGCGGCGTGGAGGAGAGTGAGAGGGAGGATGTGATGTGGTGTTGATCGGAGGGTTACTCCTGTAGTGTAGACAAGACATCATCATGAGAAACCGTGGTTGGATGTCTGTTGGTAACCGTCATCAATTCATCACAAGCACAACATCTGATGAACCATTCATTATATTGAGTATATCCAGGAAACCAAAACACCCGTACAGCTATGCAAACATAATCTTCGTACACTGCCTTCTCAAGAATACCATTATGAGCTTTTTTATGAGCATTCTCTAATCAATCACCAACGCCCTGACCTCAATACTCTCCCTCGGCCTCGCGTCCTCCCTTGTCCGCGGATCCCAAAACGCAGAATGCGGCACCCGCTCCGCAACCTCACCCCCCGCTGCCGCAAGGCTATCCGAGCACTTCAACAACAGCCTCTCCTCATTCTCCATCCCGGAGAGATACATCCACCGCTGGTTAGGATTATACTTGACAGCCATGGTCTCGCCAGTCCGATGCGGGTAACGGTGCTCGACAGCCACGAGATCATTCTCATTATCGACGGACGGGGCCGCCGCAAACGCCAGCGGCGCTGACTCCACGCGGCCGTTCAACGGCCGCCAGACGTTGACGATGCGGTAACGCACGCCCTGGCTGAGGATGCGCTCTGCCTCCTGGGGATCGGTAACGTGCAGGCGGACGCGGTCCTGCGCTGCTTTGCGGGTCTGATCGACGTGCGCTACGTTGACTGGTTGGCGGGGTGCGTCAGGGTGTTGTTTGCGGATGGTGTGGTCGAAGATGATGATGCGCTGTGCGCCGGGGATGCGCTGCAGGAGCAGCTGCTCGACTTCTGGGTAGTAGAGGCGTTGGACTTCGGCGTCGGAGTCGAAGGTGGAGTAGGTGGTTGCTGTGGGGATGTGTTGGAGGACTTGGAAGGAGTGCGTGTCGAGGTTATAGTCTTCTTCGTGCCCGCGGATGTCGGTCAGTGATACTTTGTGCACTTTTCCGCCGTAGTTGCGGCGTGGCAGGCCTGCGGGTGGGGATTCCACGTAGTTGTAGGGCGTGGACCCGTCGGCTGGGGCTTCGTAGAAGGTTATGTCGACGTCGACGGGGCCTCGGGGGACGGGATCGACGTCGGTGGTGATGGTAGTACTTGCGGTTGTGGTAGTGGTCGACATTGTGAAGTAAATTTCCAAGAACAAATATCACGTCTGTTTGAAGTCGGTGTACAGCAATAGTCTGGGACGATTTTGTTGTTCAGCAACAGATCCTACCCTTATATACTCCGTATAGACTGATATATCATCCTGTCCATTTGTAATCATCCACGATGACTCCCAAAAGTGTCCGACATGTTGCCTTTCTCAGGCATATGCCTCGATTTCCAATCATCCCCAGACAATGGCGTGCTCAGAAACAGCCAATCACAACAGCCAGAAGCATTGGCGTTCCCCACTTTGACTGTATGCAGACCAATTAGAAGTAAGATAAACGCGGAGGAATGACGTCAAAAATCGGATTGGTAATCCGCATGCCTTCCCAATAACCTGATTGGCTGCGTTGGTCTGACTTGCAAGGGAGTTGATCCGAAGCTCGTATTCTCTTCTAGATACCTAAAGCATCAATGATACATCTTGAAGTCAACAACAAATACGCCGGACCTAGTGGTTGGGCGACAGGCACATTGGAAGCGAAGGGACGGAAGTGCATCAAGGACTTGATTATATCCGTGAGAACTGTCAAAATTAGAACAAATGTACAAGTCCGCAAGATCGGCAACTAGAAGTATCCGGTCCGAGCGCAGGTGTAGAATCTATAATCGACACACCAATCGCACGCAGGCGGACATCGAAGACATAGATAAATCAAGGAGGGTGCCAATGCCACCATCGTCGTGTGCTTCGACAACAAGGTAAAGCAGTTGAACCACCAATAACACCAACAAGCAAGCCAGAACGCCGACATGGTATTTCCATGTCCCATAGACCCTGTGTCCCAATCCAAGACCATAGACAACGCCAGAAAGAAGTAGATGAGCCAGAAAGCATTACCGCTAGCCCACTCTGGCCTTCTTGGTGCGCTCGTAGCTCTGGAGCTCCACGTCTCTGCCATTAGTCTTGAGCGGGTAGAGATGCACTCCCATGTCGGTGGGAAAGTCAGGATGCAACAGACTAAAACGGTGCGGATTCTGAGGTACCCCATCCACCTCGGCTGGAACCCGCTCCACAAGCAGCTCGATCAGATTACGGTCAACCCAACCGGCGGACTTGTTGTGCAAGCGGTCTAATCGAGCACAATCGTCTTCCACCTCTTCATTCATCAGAGACGGCAGCGGCGGAGCATTGCTGTTAGGTCTAGCGTGGTAATTGGCGAGGACGTTATACGGCAGGTTAGGGCGGACCGCGGGCTTGTCCGACAGCTCTGCTAGCGCGTTGAGCGCATGGTTGCCGTGTGTCCGTGTGGAGCGTGTCGCGTGGTAATTCTGGCTGGCGGTGCGCATCATGTCGGTGGCCGGTGTGCCATTATCTTCCTGCCCGGTGCCGTAACCCGTGCCTGACTCTTCGACATCAGTATTATTCCCGTTCGTCGTGGTGCCCGAAGGCTGATCAGCCCGTTTGGAGGTCGAGAAGAAATGCACCGTGGCGACATGAGCTTGATTGGCATGTGCGCCGAGTTCCTTCTCGGTGAACAGAGTATGGATGGAATATGCCGGCGCGTGCTGCTTCTCGGCAACCTGGGCCTTGGCCCGCTCGGCCGGGTTCGGATCGCGCACCGGCGAGCCAGTATCCTCCTCGGGCGCTTTTCTCTTCCTTTTATTGAAGTCCGACACAATCCCATTGCCCAGTTCGTCCAGGTCGACCCGGTGACGGGTATGCCGGGTTTTGCGATTGCCGTGCACCCCGCCAGGACTGGCAGGATTGGTAATGCTGAATTGATTGGGATGAAGGAGGAGAGCATTGGTATCAGCAATGTCGAGCTGCTCCTTTTCCCGCATCAACCGGGCCTTCTTCCCTGAAATTGTCTGTACCAGCCGTTCTCGCAGGGTCGAGGAGAGGTTGTTGTATTCTTCACCAGCGAAGTGCACCCGGAAGGCGTATTCGCGTTGGAACCTTTCTAGATTGTTATTATGACGGTGCTGCACACGTTAGCTTCCAGGCATTCTAGACATCGACAAAAGCAAGAAGAAAGAAGAAAACTCACCACAAGCGCCGCCAACTCCGCGTCCCTCTCCTCCTTAACGTGATTTACCTCCTGCACAAATCTCGAATACCACATCCCGGACAAACTAGCCATCTCCTTTGCAAAAGCACCCCCACCAATTGTCTTCTCAACCAAAGCAGCGATTTCCTCCGCCGAGTCGGGCAGCGGGCCCGGCGAGTTAGGATCCGCGTTGTTGATCAATGTCATATCGCACTGCAATGTATGCAGCTGCTGGCGGAATTGCGCGTCTCGATTCTGGCTGAAGGTCGCCGTGAGATCGTGCAGCCGCTCTTGTAGCGCTCCGCGGCGCTTGTCCCGTTTCGAGAGGGGGGCGTTCGTCGCCGGGCTTGGGGATCGGCCTCTAGGATGAAGGCTGCTGCTCAGTGTTTGTCCAGCTGCGCCAGTAGCTGGCGATACTGGTGCCGGGGAGTAAGCCATGGCTTAGGTGTGTTTTATGAGAAGCCAGGGCAGTGTGAAGATATTGACGGGGCGGGAGGCGGGTACTGAAAGGATCAGTTGCGTGTGGATCAGGTCCTGAAGTTTGATAAAGACATAAAGGAGCCTATTTGAATCACTAGAGATTGAAAGAAAGACTGCATGAACGACGAGCAAAAACCAGCTCTCGGTGATAGAGCGATGCTGCGTTGGGGGAGGAGAGCCAGCAGCTGGGTAATGGAGAAGAAAGCGGGAATCCGGCGGCGCTCCCGAACTGGAATAGCCCCGGGACATTTTTGACCGCCCAATTGCCTCATTTCAGCTCATTTATCAAACAAGTCTCTCGCAAGAATAGGGATGATATTTCTTCTATACTCCGTACCAATAACTAATTCTCTTGATCACGCAAGAGGCTTGAGACAATGGCACATATCTTGTCTTAATTGATCAGCTTATGTTCAATAAAACCCTTATTCCCAAGCAGTGCTAAGAACCACTAGTCTTACAAGTGCACGCTCTATGATAAGTGACCAATTCTCAAGTCTATTGGTGTATTGTGTATAATTGCTCAGCAATCGTACATGATGAAGCTAGTCATACATTGTAAGCCAACTTCTAGTGTTGTGGACATGGAGCAAAGTTGGGTGGCCGGAGCCATCCAACCCATGCCCAAGAGTCATCTCTTTTGATTTCAAAAACGACAAAGTATAGCACCCGGGTATTGTTGTTATCCATCCAACCAAGCAATGCACGATATATGTTTCCAGACATCTCTTCATGCAAAATCCCATAACCGTAGCCAAAACACCGTAGACGCCGCCATAATCACCGAGGCTCAATTTTCTAACTCAGTGGTAAAGCAAATAAACGAAAGCAGAAGCAATAAAATCATCGTCCGGAGACCTGTGAGACGCATATTGCATCTAGTGTGAGCGACGGATGACGAACACTCCGAGTTCAATCCCATCTCGAGGCTCACTCTCGTAGGGCCGTCTGCGGATCCCGTCAATAATCTCGCCCAGTAACATGGCCGAGGTCACTTCCTTGTCCGCAGCCAGGATATAGGGATTTGCGATATTGGACGTCGCCTTGTGTGTCGGCAGGCGACGACCATTCTGCCAGTAAAGGCTGAGTACTTCTTTCATGCGAGCCTTCTCTTGGTGGATGTACCACTCCGTCCAGAGATTGCGATCAAGGTAGGCACTGCCCTTTCGAGCATCAACAATGCTGAATTGGGAGGAAGAAGAGCTCAAAGCACGACATAACGAGGAAAGATTGTGCTTGAGGGTGTCAAAGTCCTCCATCTGAGAGACTGAAGACAACTTGCCCAAGTATCGACCAATATCGGCGGAGAGCTCGTTGACCACAACGAGCTGACGAAGCAGAGGATCCAGGATCGGTCCGAGGTACTGAGATTTGAAGGCCGAGCCACCCCTTCTCGTAGGGTAAATGAACAGGAGGGAGCCGCCATCCGGAGAAAGTTCCGAGAGACGATCTACCAGGAAAGATGGTCGGGATGGGGAGAAGAGATCATTGTATTCCTGGGCCGATGAAGGTGGGATGTAGCGCTCCAGGACCGAGATGTGTACCGACTGAGGCGGAACGATTGGCATTGGAAAGTGTTGTGGGGCCTTCATCTGAATGGGGCCTCGAAAGTCGTGGTACGCGGAGACCACGGCTGCGCTAGAAAAGACGGTGCAGTTGAAGTAGTCATTGTTGGGAAGCATACAGCGCGGCGACCCCGGGGGTGAGGTAGGAAGGTTTGTGAGACTGAATTGCTCAGGGACTGCGTGTGTGACATTGATATAAGGGGATTGTCCTTGACGGAGGTGGTTTTGGATTACTTGAACGAGAGAGGAAAAGACTCCTTCGTGAGTGCGATGCGGCGTAGGTTTTTCCGCTGAGTATGGGTAGGGAAGCGTTTGAGAGACGAGCTTGACGGGTTCTCCGCGGGCATTCGAAAAGGGCAGCGATGATACTAAGGACCAATCGGTTAGTTTTCAAACCGAGGATTCGTTTAAGCGGGGAAAAGAAAAACCTACCAGTCGATTCGATGGAATTCTCCAGCCATGAATCATGATCGCAATCCATATCTCCTACCGGGGAGTTGTGGCTTTCATCTGAACTGGAAGGCGAGGCATTCGACAGTCCGTCCGACGGGCTCCGCAGACCAACCGAAGCGGCTCCTCCCGGGGAGTTACTTATATTCGGGCCTTCATCCATGGGCATCGGCCCCGGATTCTGATTCAATTGGGAATCGAACAACAACATGTTAGATCGAGTGTTCCACAATACGTGCTCGTCGTCCTCGGGAGGCGTTGGTGGAAGGGCCGCGGGGTAGTCGCTTTGAGAACAGTCCTTGGGCGACGCGCTCCACGTAGCCGGAGTAGACAGGGATGATTGAGTTGCTTGAGAGCTCGACGCAGAAGTTGTAGAGAGGCGAAGACGGGCTTCAACGGAATGTGTACGGGACTCGATGCGGCTGGAGGGTTTCGAAGAGAGGCCGAGTTTCTCAAATGGAGGAAGGCTCAACGATATGTTGCCTCTGTTCAAGAAACGGGACACGGTTGAGGGTTTAGTGATGAGGGATCCCTGGGACGCTCGCCGCTTCAGTCGGCTGGAGCTTCCGCCCGGGCGAGAAGTCGAGGATTGTTGAACGGGAGAGATTGGACTAGGTGCCTGGCTGTCGAACGAGTTCAAGAGCATCTGACGCGAAGAGCAGCCTTCCCACGAAGCATTTGAAGGTGAGGTTGAAGAGGATGGTGAACGCATGACCGAGTTGTCTTGCACCCCAGTGGTAGACCAGTCCAGTCCATGACACTGCGTCTGATTCATTCAGGCGATCGACCTGGGATTCCAAATGACAGGGAAGATAGCCGACGTCTCGTCGACAGTGGCTGCACGATCACTCTGGCAGTTTGACGAGACAAGTGAATTTGAGTCGATCAATGTATCTGGCTGACGAAGCAATTATATGGGCCGGCAGGCTAGTCGATGCGTTGGCAGAAGGACTTGAATGAAGGATCGAGAGGCGGCTATGCGGCGTGAGCAAAGGTTGAAACGAAGAGTAGCGGTCGTACAGAAATGACAGGGATGAGGAGAGTGCGAGAAGGATGTTGAAGAACGAACGAGGAGAAAAGGTAAGCACCCAGAAAGAGGAAACGGCACAGTGGGGATGGGCGAGATTAGCAGGCAGCGGGAATTGTGGTCATTGAAAGGTGCCAGATGATGGAATGGGAGTAAAGTTGAATTGGGTATGCAAGATTAGGATGAATAGAAGGAGGGAGAAGAAATGGAAGAGAATAGAGAATGCTAGGCACTGTTATCCAGTCGGTAGTCTAGATAGGTATGGATCAGTAGGTAGCCCTGGTAAGGTAGGTACCTTAGATTAATGACGCTGGGACGTGAATTGAAAATGGGCGGGCGCAAGTCCAGAAGGGCCAGACACATTTCGCTCACTAGCCAGCGGAAGAGCCAAAAAGGGCCCCTCCGGCTGTGACCCGACTTTCTACCAGCGTTCTAGACCGGGCAGCCTTGGCCTGATTGGGGAGTCCATGACACGAGGACGCCCGCTCGGCCCAGTCACAGTCCGTTCTGGCCTGGTCAGCACTCCAGCGATAAAAAATAATAATCCTCGGAAAAAAGAAAAGAGCTCAGTTGATTAATTATTCTGCCTGCATAGGATCCAATTAAATGTGCATAACTCACATACCTTAGGCTTTTTGCTATGGATTATAACGACTAAGAATCATTACATTTCTATTGTACGACATACCTACTTAATTCAACTTGATTCATTTGACCAAGGCTTAACCAGGTGGCCATATTCTCTCGATAAAAATTCAGCGAGCTATCCTAGATCGACAGCAAGAAAAAGCAAGTATCCCCAGCTTTGGTCACAGCCCAGACGCCCTCCGACCTGTCTAGGCCTCCATAGTTGCCGATCGGAGGTACGGACCCAGTACGGATTTACAGTCCTCCGTAGGCTAGATATGTATGTATTATTGAAGGATTTACGGACATCTATCAGATGAATTACATTTACACGGACCATTTTGCCTCCCAGAGATTAGTCTAGTCGAGGGCCCACTCCCTTAACAGGGATATGGTCCAGCAGCATTCAGAAATGTTGGCAGAGTTGGAAATTACCGACTATCAAATAATATCTATCCACTCTGTCGCATGAAAATTATTTATTATTCTGTTCGTCGTTGTCAACTTGAATCTGGATCTACAATCGGCACCGCCTTATCAACCTAAATACTCCATAGTCCCCCAATGTGAATACACACGCATCTTGACTCAAATACTCAATTCCCGCTACCTTGTCTGAACAAGCAAACAAACATAGAATCGGCCCTGCAGTACTGTACTGCGAAGCTCAAGCGGTTAGATTTCAAACAACCACAATGTTCTACGGAAAAGGATCCCAGATTGAATCGTTGGAAGAGTGCTTGTCAGAGGGACAAAGAACACTCCTGCCATAAACGAGCACAGTCTTGATGGACTGATCCAAGTATCAGGCATCTCTTTGCTTACTGTAATCTCTAGTAAGTGGCCATACAGTAGACATGTGGAATTCGGCTTTAGATCACCAAACATGACTCGCGAGGTATGCTGCGGCCCTGTCTACATCCAAACCTACTTTTAGTCATATGTCTTAACAAGACCGCAGCATCCATTAGCAATGGACGAAGGGTTGGATACGTATTTCTACTGCAATTCAAGGCTTTGCCTCGCGCAGGTCAGCAGTCAAGTACTGTACCTTACAGAGCCTACGCAACGGACTCGATTGGCATCTACCACTTTCCACATAATCTGGCATAATATGTTAATGAATACTGTCATTGCCCTTGATGCCTTATAACCATGGTTGTATCAGCCGGATGATCGATGGTTACCAGTTGCCAGTGCAGCGATGGGATCCAGTCCCAGTGCCGCTTCCGGGCGGGTGACGCCTAGACCCTTTTCCGTGCTGCCGAAGTGACCCGCTGTATCTACTTGGGCTCGTTTGCCTTTATCCATATAGGTACTCCGTACTGTGTCTATTTTCTTGGGAAAATACGACTCTGCTGGATTTGTGTCGAAATGCCATGTCAAGTGACTCTCGCAGATCCGGAGATTTCCTCCTCGCCTTTTTCCGAGCCTGGATCGGCTGGACAGGCCACGGTGGTAGACTTGTTTATACCCAATCCTACCCTGTTCTTCATCCTTCGACACTGATCTTTCCTTGACTTAGTTACAGAATAGCTTCGCTTTATATCGGATATCATATAATGTGCATACTGTGTCTATCAATGGCCACAAGATGGGCGCGCTGATTGCACTTCCCAGGCGCACCAGTCCGCAGCACGGAAATCCCCTCTTTGGGCATCTTGCAGATGCATTAGCGGCATCACGGCTGGGCATTACGGTACTCGATCTTGGAATCAGGTTACCCCGTACTCTACGGTATTTAGAATGCCTTTGCTGGTACTCTTCCCAGTTACTACTAATGTCGCGCTGCTATCAGGCGATAGCCGACACCACCACACCATCTACATGTAGAGAATCACCAAGAATGATCGATAGCTACCAACCACTAATCTACCATATCCAGGAAAACATGATTACGTGACAGTAATCTCTGGGCTCTAGACCTCGGCCATATTGCAAGCAAGGCAGTAATAATATTAATTGTCGGATAATCCCAGACATAAATCTCAAACATCAGAACCATGGAAACGCCGCACAGTTAATCAACCCTACCATATATGCTGCGGCTAGTCTAATCATCAACTCGTCATGCGACTTTGCTTCATTAGCATGGTTGCCGAAGTTAATCTGCGAATCATTATCATTGCGCAGGCAATATGCTATCTATACACTGACATTGGCTGAAGTATTGCCTCATGCCGTGTCCAGTTCCACCCTCGTCTCAGGTAGAAGAGTGAAACGACGCAGTGCGCGATTTTTGATTTGATTGGACCTGTGGTGGGTAGCTAGCTGTCGCTGTCGCTCTCGCTGTCCCATTCAATGTCGCTGTCAGTGACAGCAGAGGCGATGGAGATGGGTATATTTGAAGAGGGCCTGGATGTCATGCCAGGCTATGCGATGTGGATATCATAATTGTGTACTTTACGTAGTTTACATAACATAAATGTAGCAGGTTGAATCTGCTTGTGGTCGTTAGTAACGATAGACTGCCATTGAGGTGGCGTTATTGTGTAACAGCAGCTGTAGGTGCCATTGCTATTGTTGGTTGTACAAGAGTATGTGCGACTTGGCTGTTGACCGTGAAACGTCTATCTGCTCTTGGATTTGACCATCAAAGACAGGACTTAAGTACCATAGTTTAGAGTATCTATTTCAAAGGATGATGCACATGCCAGGCGTATCAGAATTAAGATTAGAAGATGTAGTATAGAGACTCATAACAGGACTCCAAACGGTGTACACTCCATCTGCCAATTTCAGACCATATCCCTTCCATGGTGTGCTCGAGGTTTTGTGCACCACAAACTAGGCCGACGACTTGCTCCCGCAGTCTGCAGTGCGACCGTCGTGGACAGGAGTGACCTTGCAGCCTCGCAGGAACAGTTGTTCTCTGAAATCCAGCCCTCACAAGCCCTGCACTTTCAGAACATATTTCTATGCCAAGCCATGACTTGACGGTAATCCAAGTTCTAGCCCTGTGGATGTTGCAGCCTAAGCGACTCGGCGTTCGGTAATGCCAAGCAGTGTGGCTACAGTACACCGATGACCTTACGTCAGAGCCAAGCTCTATCTGGGCTGCATATAAGGTCCAGGCCAGGCTGTCTGTGGCAGGCGGGCCTCAGCATCTTCCGGCTTGCTCGCCTTGGCGGCTCGGAAAAGCGAGGCCAATTGAGGAGACCGTTTGGTTTTGGTCGTCTGAGTCTGGCCGCTAGGGTAGAGCTAGGGCCAGGAATTGTAGTAAACGTCAAAGAGTCGACGTAACTGTACGCATGCTCAAGAGGTGACGGTTCTTCTCCGGGATGCGCCGTTGCTGCGAGGATTCAGTCCCTGAGTTACGTCGCTGTAGTGGGTCTGCAGACACCTGCTGGCAGACACTTTAGCAGCAAGGCATTTGTGCTCCTCGACCGTCTTTCGAGAGTGCTTGCGGGCGTAATTTGGCGACCTCATGGCAACAGTGTGGGCCGTTTGCTGCTGGGTCAAGTCGCACCGAACGTAAGCAGCGTTGTTGTACAGCGATTGAGATTGCAGGCTCTGGCGCTCCACAGCGGCTCGGAGTACCAGACACTGCACCACTAGCTGCTTCACCCCATCCGTCAACGTACGCGCGCGGTGCTCAATATCCGGCCAAAAGTCATTGCCCCAGAAAGGATCTTCCCTGACTGCCCTTTCCAACGCATCGAACCAAAAATCGAAGCTGGGAAGTCGCTTTTGCGCGTCAAGCGGGCTCAATCCTTGTAGGTTGTCTGACAACAGGCACGCCACGGCAACAAATCGGATGGTCGGCTCAGAGTTGAGGACGTGTAAAACGATGCACGTCGGGCAGCGTTCTGTCTGATACCAGTCGTGCTCCTCCCTGAGGATGCATTGTAGCCAGGCGTAGGCGCTGCGTGCCTCTCCCCGAAAGGCACGCTCGCAGTCTGTCGCTTGGATCCCGGGTAACGCGCTGGTCGCAATTCGAGAGGCTTGATGGTGGAGGAGGAACAAGGGGAGGAGAATGGTGTGGATGATATCCCGATGGAGACGAAATTCCTCCCGGTCCTGATCGGAACAAGAGCGACGGTGCAATGAGCAGAAGCTGTAACCATCCAAGTGTCAGATTGGGCCACACATATATGTCATGCCGGATGATCATACCTAGG